TCCCACATTTCTGACCCACCCTTCTCAACCCCCGAGGGGGGTCTCAGGGCGGCTTACACTGGAAACAATTCGATACCACAAGATAATACAAATATAAACAAATATAAAAACAGTTTAAAACAGTAAATAGAACATTGGGTTAAAAACATGTTAAAAACATTGTCATCAATCCATATAGCCAATTCCAATTCTGAAAGAATGGAGGGAAGACGCCGACCTGATCTCGCTGGGGAGCGGTTTCCACAGGTGTGGGGCCACCGCCAAGAAGGCCCTGTCCCTTGTCCTTGCCAAGCGCACTTATGAGGCTGGCAGGACCGAGAGTAGGGCTTACCCGGATGATCTTAACCTGCAAGGCGGGACATAGAGGGAGATACGTTTGGACAGGTAAGCTGGGCTGGAAACATATAGGGCTTTATAGGTCAAGACCAGCACTTTGAATTGTGCTTGGAAGTGGACCAGCAGGCATATACGTATAGTTTTGAACTGGGTTATAATATTTGCCAGATTGGGGCCAAAAGGATTACAAACTAGATACTCAATAATGTTGGATTTTTTATAAAAAAAAATCTGTTAATATTGAGGGAAGATCCTGTTAATATGGTGGCCTAAACTTAATTAGGAGTTTTTAATTCTCCCAGCAGACACAAACATACACATGGACATAGAGACATACTACCTCATCAGACAGACTTCATTCCCTGTTGTATGCCATTTGCTCTCCTCTTTTCGATGGAGCCTGTTACACAATGCACGTGTACTTTCAGCCAGGCTCCGTCGGGAAAGGGGAAAGCAAGCAGTGTATGCCGCTGCCGCCGCAACATGGGAATTTTCCCATGTTTCCTTCAGGACAATGGGGGGAATCCAGGCAGCAGTGCTTCCCCCATGTAATGCAGTCCCTAGTAAGTCATGTGACAGGTTCTCCATGCTCCCAACTGGGACCCAATGGATTAGCCATGATGCAAATCCATGGACCTTTGTGAGGAGGTTCTATATAATGGGATTGCAGAGGAGAAAGATGAGAGGAGAGGGATGAACCCTGGTGAGGGAGCTGTATACAAGTGAGCCAATGGGAATGCAAGTGCGCAGTAAGAATGACACAAAAACAAGAGCCTGTTAATTAATATGGATATGCAAATACACATTCACATGTATGCCAGAACGAAAAAATACATAGCTGCTGCAGTTGTGTGGCCTAAAATAACCTGATACAATGAATATGTGAACATAGTAGAAATGCCCTTTTGTACCGAGGTGACATCAAAGTGGGAGAACTGTGGATTTCAAGACCACTTTGATTTGTAATTAAAATAAATGAGTGTGATGTTCAAGGAGTCAAATGGGGACACTATCCGCTGGAGCTGGGATATAGCCTTTGTGTCGACTCAGCCCAAGATGCTAAATATGAGAGGATATTTAAGGGAGGAAGAATATTTAAACAAAATGCTTTGCACAGAGCAGATGAGTTGCTGCAGTCTAGGGAAACTGTGGGGGCAGAGATGCAAACCCCAAGAGAATAAAATGTTCATTTTAAAAGATTTGATGTCAAACATTGGACGTGCTGGCTCCATCCTTTATTTAAATACCCTCTTTATTTTTCATTGTATTTATAGCTAATACAGAACATGGATGTGTCATTGTATTTATTTGCTGGCATAGCAGCCAGTTGTTATGAGTTTCGTTTTCAATAAATCCTGCCATAATGGAATTTCGAGCGTGACAGCTTCCATCTGCTATGCAAAACAAGCACAGCCTTGCTTTCTTGGGTTGGGCCCTGACTCAGGATAAAGGCAGATGCTTTCCAGGCTGAAAAATGGAACAACACACCAGAACTTAAAGATGTAAAAAATAATTAGTGCTAATAAAAAAATACAAGTGTAAAAATCTGAGTTAAAGAATTTTAAAAAACAACAACAAATAGCATTTTTTTCCATTGGAGTTTTGCAAGGACAGTAAAACTAGCAGACATCTTTAATAGGATTATCATTTGTTTAGTTTTGGCAGCCTGCCATTCACAAGAGCTGAAGTAAATCAATAGTTATCGTCATAATGATTTAGGCATGCATACCACACCACTTCTAATGCAATATTAGGCAAGTTGCACAGAAGTTAATCAATTGTCTCTGCCTTGAGGTAAGGCCATAATGATTGCAACCTTAATTTCTTTCTTGTTGCTGTATTGTTTGAGACTGGTTGAGCAGGTCAATGTTCTCGGTTTCCATCCAACCAGTATGAGACTTCTACCAAACCCCATCTGATCTTAGGCCCTATCAACACTGCTATAAAAAGCAGTTTCATAATGCAGTTTGACTACATTATATGAATCTACACTGCCATATAGGAACCCCCGGTGGCACAGTGGGTTAAACTGCTGAGCTGCTGAACTTGCTGAATCCGGGGATCAAGGTGAGCTCCCATTGATAGTCCCAGCTTTTGCCAACCTAGCAGTTCAAAAACACGCAAATGTGAGTAGATCAATAGGTACCGCTCCAGTGGTGCTCCATGCAATCATGCTGGCCACATGAACTTGGAGACATCTACAGACAATGCCAGCTCTTCGGCTTAGAAATGGAGATGAGCACCTCCCCACAGAGTCGGACACGACTACACTTAATGTCAAGGGGAAACATTTACTTTCATTCACTGCCATATAATGCAGTTCAATGCAGTTAGACTGCATTATGAAACTGCATTACAGGGAGTCTCTAAGTTATGAACAAGATACATTCTGTAGGTTTGTTCTTAATTTGAATTTGCATTCAAGTCGGAACAGATATATTTTTTAAGTGTACCTCCAGTCAAAAGTTTTAATTTTAAAACTTAGGCTAGCATAGGGAAGGATTAACACCCCTGTGGTGTTTGTGTTGCTGTCTGTGCCCGTTCAGAAAAGTCACCTCACTTTTTGTCCCTGTAATAATTGGATTTTGAAAAATGTGTCTTGTAGAAACAAGAATTGGTGATAAAGCTTCAGTGGAGAGACCTTTCCCCCCTGATAACTCTTTTAGGAGTGAATTTCCCCTCCTAGAGGTTGATTTCTCTCACTTTCTATTGTCTCACCCCATTCCTAACTATGAGTTGTTTGTAAGTCACATGTTTGTAACTTGAGGACAGCCTGTATATTCTTCTGGGATATGTTCAGTCATAACTAACTACAGGTTGAGCATATCTCATACAGAATTTTGAAATTGGAAATATTCCAGAATTGTCAACATGAGTGGCAGAGATAGAGAAATTTTGCTTTCTGGTTGTTGCATGTATACAAACTTGTTTAGTTTCTTGCACAAAGTTATTTAAACTATTATGTCTATAAAATTACCTTCAGGCTATGAGTATAAGGGGTATGTGAAATATAAATGAAATCTGTGTTTAGATATGTAGCTTCCATCTCTAAGATAACGCATTATGTATATGCAGGTTTTCCAAAATTTCATATAAGGAATATTTAACCTGTAGTCACACGCTGTTTCTGATTGTTGCCTAAGGCTTTGAACTATTGGGTGTTGTTTTGGCCCATGGTTCTTTCAGTCTTAGATTGGTGGAGATCAGATTTCCCCTCTGGTTCAGTCTTAGCAGAGATATAAGGGCTGGTGGCAAAAACCTCCTTTGCAGTTTTAATTCCTTATGAGAGATATATAGTGACCTCATGATTTCCATAGGGTTTTCTTAGGCCAGAAATACTTAAAGGTGGTTTTACCAGTTCCTTCCTCTGAAATGTAGCCTACAGCACATGACATTCATTGGCAATCTGCAAAGTTAGGGCCGAGCTTTAACACAGCAAGTTAACCACCAGCTGCAGTAAATCTTGCCAACTGAAAGGTTGACAGTTTGAAGCCCGGGTCAGGGTGAGCTCCTGGCCTTGGGCCCAGCTTCTGCCTAACTAGCAGTTTCAAAAACAGCAATTTGCATAGATAAATAGGTACCGCTTAAGTGGAGAGATATTTAAGACACCTATCAGGAAATGCCAGAAAAATGCCAGTGATTTGAACAAGGAGGAAGTTTACAAACAAAGCAAAAGTGTCTCCACTGAGGTTTTAACACCAATCCTTGTTTCAGCAACAAGCTCAATTTTTCAGAATCCAATTATCACAGGGACAGAAAGTGAGGTGAAATCTTCTGAACAGAGGCACAAACAGCAAAACAAACACCACAGGGCTGTAAATTCTTCCTAATGTTATCCAAAGCTAAAAACAATATATTTTTGGCTAGAGTTACACTATAAAAATATCTATTCCAACTTACGTAAAATTCAACTTAAGAACAAACCTATAGAACCTATCTTGTTTATAACTTTGGGAGTGCCTGTACTCAACACCAGTGGGATTTTCTGTCTCACGTGTTACAATAACTTGTCTGGCATTAAGTACTGTACAGCTTGACTTCAATAATTGCCTGGTGCCGCATTTGCTGCTCAGCTTCAGACAGCCAAAGGAGAGATGTGCTCTTCTGTTTAACTGTGTAAATTGGAGTGGGGAGACTTCTTGTAACACGAGGGGTCAGGTTTAATCTTCGGATAAATTCTCAGGAGTTACATTGTAGTAGTGGGCAGGGCCAAAGACCACAAGAGCAGGGAACCCACCCAATTCCCACTGTATTTTAGCTTCATAATCTTAGTGCCAGTAGCTCGGCCTTAAGACAGGAATTTCAAGTTAAATTCCAGCCCTTAATCCCCAACAGTAGCAAACTGGAGGAAGGTGAGAGCCATATGTATTTTTATATTGGCAAGATTGCCAATTCCTATTCATAGAATAATCCCCGCCTTCTAATCCTTTGCTGTCATCTGGCTGCTATATCACTTAACATAGCATTTGTTTTTTACTTCTGCTTTTGTCAAACATCTGAATGAAGTCATTGGATGAAATAGTCAGAGTTATGGTAAAAAAATCTGGGGCCATATCTATAAAAGTCCTTCCCTGCTCTCTCCTCTTATATTTTTAAATTACAAGATGAGACCATGCTTAACCCTGCTGGACCATGCCATGATAAATGCTGAATGGATGTCCTGATGCACTTGACACAGGAAAATTTTCTTCCTGCTGCCTGATCTCTTTGCAAGAAAGGCCAAATGTAAAGGATGATAACAATTCATAAAGAAAATGGTACTGGAAAAATTACTCTTCATCTGCCTAGTTTCAATTTTGAGAGACATCAAATTATATGATTCCAGGTAATCATTTTAATCAGGCACCTAACCTAAAGTAAACACGTGCAATAACGGGAAACTGTAGGTGTGTCGTGCTGACTAACTCTTACCTTTTTATTTTTTTTAAACAGTACATAATTTAAGATGAATAATTTGCCAAAGTAAAAAACAGCTTGACATGTCATGCAGATTGCATATTCACCTGGAAGAGAAATATGAATAATATCTGAGGTACAGTACACTGGAAATCATAAATTGATTGATGTGCACTTATGGATTACCATCTCCTATGGAAGTTCCAAAATAAAAGCATTGGAACTAAACCCTTTCTGAGAAAATCTAATACACCCTAAGTGCTCTGAAATTACAAGATTGTTTTTGAAAAATATGAAAACATAGGGTTGTTGTGAGTTTTCCAGGCTGTATGGCCATATTCCAGAAGCAGTCTCTCCTGACATTTCACCTGCATCTATGGGAGGCATCTTCAGGGGTTGTCTGTTGGAAACTAGGCAAGTGGGGTTTATATATCTGTGGAATGCCCAGGGTGCGAGAAAGAATTCTTGTCTGTTTGAGGCAAGTGTGAATGTTGCAATTGGCCACCTTGATTAGCATTTAATGGCCTAGCATTTTCAAGGTCTTTTCTTACTGCCTGGGGGAATCCTTTGTTGGAAGGTGATTAGCTGGCCCTGATCGTTTCTTATCTGGAAATAGAAGGCGATTAAATGCTAATCAAGGTAGCCAATTGTAACATTCTTTCTCTCACCCTGAATATTTCAGATATATAAATCAATTTTCCTAGTTTCCAACAGACCTCGCAACCTCTGGGTATGCCTACCATAGATGCAGGTGAAACGTCAGGAGAAAATGCTTCTGGAACATGGCCCTACAGCCCGGAAAACTCACAACAACTCACTGATTCTAGCCATGAAAGTCTTCGACAATGCATATGAAAACATAGTTCTTCTTTTCAACTGAGAACTGAACCACCCTTTCAAAGTATGAAAAAGGTGATTTCACCGAAACCTTTTCTATTACACTGACAAGTGTGGGCATGATTCAGCTAAAGTAAATACTTATTAAACATGTGTTCAATTTTCCTCAGTAGAAATCAGTAGGACTTAGAAGCATGCTTTTCCTGAGTTGTGCCTACTGTGAAAAATTATAAATTGCTGATTTCTTAAACTGTAAAATTGTAACTAATTATTTATTTATTTCAATAAGGAAGACTGGGGTCTTCTACTGAAATACTGTTAAGTTTATGTTGGTAAAATTGTCCTTCATTTTAAATATTGTATTGTTCTTTCTTTATTTTTTGCACTACAAACAAGATATGTTCAGTATGCATAGGAATTTGTTCATTTTTTTTCAACTAGTTCACACAAACATTTTCCACCCATCTACCTGTCTGTCATATTTTGAAACACAGTGTGGCCCCTGTGTCCAAAAGTTTGCCCATTCCTGATATATATACATTATATATAATATAATGTATAATATATAACATATAATATATCATATAATATATAAACATTTCTTGGGGCTCCACGAGAAACATTTCCTTCAAAAAGGGCTCGGTGGCTGAAAAAGTTTGAGAACCACTATTCCAATCCATCGTAGCATGTAACAGGAATCAATATTTATATTTACTCATACATTTAAACATCTGATTTGATACTGACTGTCATTTATTGAAAATGTATGCATTTTCCTTGGAGGACATTTTTAATGCTTGGAAGAAGATTCTGCTGGCATATATTTAATGTATCAATCAGACACTTTTTGTATTTGTGAAGTAGGAAGGATGCCCATACTTGAATATGATTACTCTGAAGATCCTGGTATTATATTTACAAATCCTGTTTAATGGTTCTTTTATATGTTCACTTGGTAAAGTTATAATTTTATTTCTTTTGTTAAGTATCTTTTTTTAAATGTTTTTGAATTTTGCAGGGGGCCTAACTTATGAGGTATAATTCAAAAATAAAAACAGCTGTTTCAAAGCTATGGACATAGTTCAGTTTATTTCCATTTATATGACCTGACCTTAACTTTACTTTTTGATATATTAATATTTGTTTTGTACTTATGTTCTAGAAGGTATACATAAAATTAAAGGAGGACTTCCTCTTCTCTCAGAAACTTTAGAGGAAATAATTTCATACAGATAATTATGTAAAATTAAAGCAGCGGTGTATTGGCTATATTGGCAACTGGTAAATGTCCTTGGAAAATACTTATTACTACTTAACAACATCCTGTCTTTTTAGAAACAAGAAGGTCAACGGCCCTTCCAGAGTATTATGTTAGTTATCGCTTGCCAGCTGCCTAGAAAAGTGGCTTCTAGCATCACATTTTCCACAGTTTTAAGAAAGAAGGGAATTTACCATTGCACAGGATCTCCAGGGAAATGCAATATAGTCTCCAACAACAGAATATCAGTGCTGTTGTTACATATCTTCAAGTCAACTCTGTCATGATTGAGGTAATTTTGAATTCTGATCCTGTCCTCAGGAGTATTAGCTATCCCTCCTAATTTGGTGTCATCTGCAAACTTGGTAAGCATACCCCATTAAACCTTCATCTAAGTCATTAATAAAGATGTTGAACAGAACTGGGCCCAGGACTGAACCCTGCGGCATTCCACTCATTACTTATTTTCAGGATGAAGATGAAGCCGCAGACCATATTCTAGTTTTTGGGGACCATTGGTGGTCCATGAACCACTGGTTGAGACCACTACCTTATATCCTCAGCCTATCTATTTAATAACAAATCCCTTTTAATTTTTTGTCTCAATGTATCCCCCAAGGTCATTTGGTGGATTTCTATAGAGTGCAGGTTTGAACTGCAGTCTCCCAGAGCCCTTGTCCAAATTCAAACCACAGCACCACACTGACTATTAAGAAAGATTCGTTTTCTTAAACTAAATATGTTCAAGCATGACAAAAAAGCTGAGTCAATGTGATTAAATTCCAGGAAATAGAAGCTTTTTAATCATTCTACTATTTCGGAAGAAGCTGAATCTTCATCCAAACCAAATTTGCCAACAATATACACTTGGCATTGCTATAAGAATGCATGACCTTTTGTCATGCATAATTCAATAAGATAACAAAACCCATCAAATTGACAAGGATGGCTTGTTTACTCAAGAGCTTTGGGTCGGTGGGATAGGATGCAGTGAAGCACCATATTATATTTCCCTTACTTATCCAAGTGCATGAGGAAAACCTTCAGAAATTAACACTACTCCAGACATAAAAATATTCTGTATGGCCATTACATCTGCACAAAACCCATTTATACCTATCATCACATATCAGAAACACAATTATCTCAAAAATCAAACAGACACATGTACATTAATCATGCATTGTGTGTATACATGTTATCAATATGCAAATTCCTTCACCAAAAATGATCTCTGTCTGCAGTAAATAATAGGATGCTATGATCAGAACTATGAGAAATGCTGGAATTTTTCCTTCAGGTTGAATCTAGTCATTTCTGACTCATAGGATCCTAAGCCAATCCTGTCACAGGGTTTTCATGGTAGGATTTGTTCAGAGGTGGCCTGCCATTGTCTTTCTCTGATGCTGCAAGGGAGTGACTTACCCAAGATTTAACTTGCTGCACCAACGGGGGCCAAATAGCATGGTCATACTATTGGGGCTGTTTTGATCCTCCCCTCCGAAGGATATTGCATACTTTTGCAAATCTTGGATTTATCTGAACCTCCTGATACAACCTGCCTGGTAAATGGATTTTGTTTGGTTAGGCAAGATTCTATTGTGGTTCTCAAAGAATATAGATTAACACCGAAGGAAAAAAAGAGAAGGAAGGAAATGAACGCTTATTTTAATAAAGATGATAATGGTATCTTTGGTCCACAAAGAGAAACAAAATGTAAGAAAAAAACCCCAAAAGAATTGTTCTGTCTCTCCCATCCCTCTGCTCATTGCTGAGTCAAAGGAGGCTACACAATGCATAACACAATGAAAAAGCGAAACATAGTTTTTGTACTATTGTGAAGCAACAATACTCGAGTAAAGAACTCCACTGTTTACACAATCAAGGGTGCTGAAGAAAAAACTCATAAAGGATATAGCTGTGTCAGTTGTTTACTTTAGCTGCCTGAGGCACATGCTGACCCAAAGCTAGAAAAATCAAGATGTTTTATTCTAATTCACATTGTCTCAAGACTTGTATGCATGAAGTTTCACTTTATTTGTATGCATCAAAACATTAACAAACAAGTTGTGGAATGTGAAAAAGAAAAAAATGTAGGGGAAAAGTAGGCATGTTCCAGTTGAATCTTATCCAGAGGAATCACGGAATAGAAGGGAACATTTTCTGACTTGTTTTAATCAGCAGCAAATCCATGCACTTCATACATTCCTGAACTTTAAGAATGTGTTCCTCCTGATGCCTGATCCATTGCATATGTTCTCCAGCTTCAGGAATGCGGTTCTATCACTGCTTTTTGTCAAGCCTGTCTTCCTGCAATGTTAGATTGTTTTGAAACTCTAAGATACCACTTCGATCACAAAGAATATATGCAGGTGTCTACCACTGTGGCCGAATGAAGTCAAATTAGCTCAACTTTCAAGTAAAATGGCCAGATAGATGTTAAGCTATAGATTAATTGTATTGCTATGAGTTTTAGACACCATGCACAGCTGGTGGAATGCATTTGCCTTAATTATAACTATTTGTCTAGTTCTGATTCGGTGGGAACCAATGTTTTATAGGCACATAAGAACTGGTTTCCAAGAAATATGAATATGGATCCATCTGAATTAGGATAGAATTATAGAATCATAGAGTTGGAAGAGGTCTCCTGGGCCATCCAGTCCAACCCCCTGCCAAGAAGCGGAAAATCACATTCAAAGCACTCCCGACAGATGCCACCCAGCCTCTTTTTAAAAGCCTCCAAAGAAGGAGCCTCCACCACACTCCAGGACAGAGAATTCCACTGCTGAACAGCTCTCACAGTCAGAAAGTTCTTCCTAATGTTCAGGAAGTGATAATGTTTCCTGAACCTGATAGAACAGGGATGAACTGTCAAATTCACTTTCTGGACAAGGATGGCTCAGTGGTGGTTGGTGAAACCTCTCAGTGAGATTGTGAATCCATTTAAAGGAGCTATCCAGAGTGCTTAACAGTTTCCCCCAAATAAGTTCAGATCCTTGACTAGTTTTTAGAACTCAGACTAATACTCACTGATATGGAAGTCACTGCTGGGGCATTTTTATCCTACCTCCACTTGCCCTAGGAGAGGAGACTGCAAGAAAAATATTCTGTTTGTGGCTTCGGATCAAAGGAACAATAATCACCAGGGAAGATTACACAGGAAGAATTAATTACACAGGAAGAATTTATTTGCAAGGAGAAGCCCATCACAGGACATATTCCTACTACAGAATTATAACACTATGATTTGGCTTTAACTCCTGTGGTTTCACCCTATGGAACACTGGGATTTGCAGTTTAAGGAGAGATCTTGAGAATTCCCAGCCAGGGAGCTCCTTTCACCAAACTTCAGAATTATAGATTCCATAGGAAGTAGCCACAGCAATTAAAATGGAATCATAGTGCTGTAATATTTGCGTATAGTGAAAGAACCCTTTGTCTTATCTACTAGGGCAGAGAAGGAGCAGCTGCAGGAAGTTTGCCCAAAATAATATTTGTTTCCAATGGTCAGATGCCCTAAGTAACAGAAAACAGCGTGTTCTGGCCCGCATTCAGTTATTAATTCCACCTAGAGGAAGCCAACTGCATGAATGAGAGTTTGGTAAGTCAGGCCTTGAGTAAGTTCCATTGATTTCACAAATCTCAGAAATGTTGGTGCGTGGGTGGATAAATGGGTTAATTTTAGAGGTTTATTTCTGGTTCCTTATAAATCACCTGAAATTTAATTTGATATAATTCTTATAAATGAACAAATATGCCCAACCTCCTATTCATAAATATCTTTTTTGGCAGCTGAACGTATTAGAGTCAGATGTTGAAAAGAAGGTACTTATGCTGAGAAAACTCTAGCTAACAGGCTTATGAATAAAATACACACACCCAGAAAAATCTGCCACCCAGAAAAATCTGAGGCACTTGAATGCAGTTAGTCACATTTCTATAGACTACTTTAGGCGTTTCCTCTACAATAGAAGGTTTGCTAAGGAACAAGAATCTTTAAAATTAAGAAGTTAGAAAGTAAAGTACAGTACATTTATTATGTGCAAGGTTGAAATTTGTAGATGACAGCTTCTCAAAAATTGCTCTTAGAAAACAAAACAAAAAAAATCTTTAAAAAAGCTTAAAATGATTCAGACATATTTGGTTGGTATTTTATGAAGGCTTTGTATTAAAATGTATCTAGTGCTCCTCAGCTCATTTTCATTGCTAGTGAATTACACTGAAATGTGACTAAGGACACAATTCTGTACATAATTCTGGGAACAAATTGAAATGAAGCCAAGAAAATATATTTCAGAATATTGTTGTTAACATCGTTGACTTTGACCTATGGCAACCCTATGAATGAGAGACCTCCAAGTCGCCCTATCATCATCAGCATTGCTTGGGTCATACAGACAGAGGGCCATGGACTCGTTGACTGATACTATCAATTCATAATGTTCATTTGTATCAATTTCTAATGTGGCCTTCCTCTTTTCCTCCTGCCTTCTATTTTACCAAGCATTATAGTCCTTTCTAGTGAGTCATGTCTTCTCATAATATGTCTAAAGTACAATGCCCTCCAGGTGCATCTGCACTGCAATATTAATGCCGTTTGACATCACTTTAAGTGTAATGTCTCAATACTATGGGATCATAGGAGTTGGTAGTTCTACAAGGCCTTCAGCTGTATCTGCCAAAGAATGCTGGTGCCTCACCAAGGTATAATTCCTATGTTTCCATAGCACTGAGCCATGGCAATTCAAGTGGTGTAAAACTGAATTAATTTACAATGTGGATGCATCCTCAGTCTAGTCCAGTGGTTCTCAACCTGTGGGGCCCCAGATGCTTTGGCTTTCAACTCCCAGAAATCCTAACAGCTGGTAAACTGGCTGGGTTTTTTGGGAGTTGTAGACCAAAACACCAGGGGACCCACAGATTGAGAACCATTTTGGCTTCTAGGTAGATTCAGACTTGATTTGACCTAAGGTAAAGGTAAAGGTTTCCTCTGACATTAAGTCTAATTGTGTCTGACTCTGGGGGATGGGGCTCATCTAAATTTCTAAGCTGAAGAGCGTTGCCCATAGACACCTCCAAAATCATGTGGCCATCATGACTGCATGGAGTGCCGTTACCTTCCTGCAGAAATGGTAGCTATTGATCTACTCACATTTGCGTGTTTTCAAACTGCTAGGTTGGCAGAAGCTGGGCCTAACAGCAAGAACTCACCCCACTTCCTGGATTCGAACCACCAACCTTTCTTTCAGCAAGTTCAGCAGATCAGCAGTTTAAACTGCTGCACCACCAGGGCCTAGGATTTGACCTAGGATCCATTTATTTATCTTTTTTTTTTTTGCAGTCAACAGAATCTATAGAAGTCTTCTCCAGCACCATGATTCAAATGAGTTTATTTTCTTTCTTTCAGCTTCCATCACTCTCCAAGTTTTACAATCATACATGGCATTAGGATATGGCATGGACACTCCTAAATTTACACATCTGGATCTTGTTAACCATAGCTTCTTCTGTATTGTACTAACAAATACTATGGTGCCATTATTGTTGTCTATGAGATCTTCCACCAGCGTTAGTCATCCCCCCCCCCTCAATTATTGCTTTTGCTCAATAGCTACATTTGTTGCATGCAGTCAGGCATCTCAGCAAAGGCCTGACTGACAAAAGAAACCATGCTAAGAGCACTGCTGCCATCAGCATAGCCTCTTGCATCACAGGAGCACATTCTCCCACCACTGTAGAAAGATAGTGCCTTTGGTGAAACTTCATAATATCCAAGTATGTAATTGTTATGTAAGATTATATACACTTACCTGAGTGCAAAGCATATTAAACGGAGCGGAGTTTTATGTTTTTTATTTTATCGGATTGCACTACAAACAAATGTAGAGGTCAGAATAAGTTTTTTTTAAAAAGTATTTTGGTTAGAGCTTGAAAGTCTATTTTTAATTACAATTCCACAAACTGTATAGATTCTGGTAGCCATGGTGCAAAACTCCATATTTCACCAAAATCTGGTAGTGATTTTGTTCTTGTATGTGAAGACATGAAAAGGTGGTGGATGAAATATATGTTTTGGTAGATGCAACGGGATTGATTGAAAACAACTTCTCTGTCTTCCTCATAGCACCTCTCCTACCTCTGGAAAATGCTGTACTGGGGGTCTGAGAACACATGCCCAGAGGAGGAATTCTACAACTCAGGAGGAGATAACATCTGTGAGAAGAGCCCATTTGCCCAGAAAATACAGATACTGGATCCATGCAAGTTAATTCCAGCATTGCTTTGGGTGGAAGTTCACTGCATGTTTGGGAAGTTCATATAACTAATCTTGACAGGAAAGCAAGCAATCAAGTAGAATCATGTCAGAAACACCAGTGGTTTGTTCATGCATCAGAAGTTATGTACAGGGTGGAGCACATAAAAGGTTACTGTGGTAACAACACAGTTTGACTCAGGACTTTTTTGCTGTTTTACAGTGATCTGGAAATGTTCTTCCACCCTGATCAATAAAAATCTAGTGTAAGACACAGGTGGGAAGACTTCAGGCTTTGTGGGTTATTTTTAGTAGGAACATAGGAGTCCCCAGTGATGCAGCAGGTTAAACTGCTCAGCTGTTGAACTTGCTGACCAAAAGGTCAGCGGTTCAAATCCGGGGAGCGAGGTGAGCTCCTGCCATTAGCTCCCGCTTCTGCCAACCTAGCAGTTTGAAAACATGCAAATGTGAGTAGATCAATAGGTACTGCTTCAGTAATGGTGCTCCATGCAGTCATGCCAGCTACATGATCTTGGAGGTGTCTACGGACCACACTGGCTTTTCAGCTTAGAATTGGAGATGAGCACCACCCCCCAGAGTCGGACACAACTAGACTTTATGTCAAGGGGAAACCTTTACCTTTACCTAGGAGTCCCCAGTGGCACAATGGGTTAAATCCTTGTGCAGGCAGGACAGTTTGAATCGGGGGGTTGAGCTCCCTCTGTCAGCTCCAGTTCCAAATGTGGGAACATGAGAAAAGCCTCCCACATGATGATAAAACATCCAGGCATCTCTTGGGCAATGTCCTTAGAGATGGCCAATTCTCTCACAACAGAAGCAACTTGCAATTTCTCAAGTTGTTCCTGATACACAAAAAAAGTAGGATTGTACAAAAGAAATGTTGTATCCCACAGTATACTCTACAATGGGATAGACTAGAAAATCAGACAAAGTCTAACTTCCTGTAGCAGTACGATAATGTAAACATTCTGTATTAATTCATCTAGGATCAAATAACATTGTTTAATACAATTTTTGTCACAGTAACAAACTATTCTGTCAACTCTACCTTAAAATCCCATCACTTTTGTGAAGAGATTATTCCTTTCCGATATTCAAGCTTCCTTTCTCCATCACAAACTTCCTGCTCATTGTAGAATCAAAGCAGATGTGACAGGCAAAGCCACACTTGTTTATTCATGTGCCTGCTCCATTCATGCCTCAAAGCAAGGGACGACGGATCATCAGGTTTGTACAGTAAAAGGTTTACATAGGCGAGGCAGTTGAACCTGTCCTCTCCTTATCTTGCCACTCTTCAACACCCGAGATATTGTTTTCCTAATTTAAAAATATGAGAGAAATGCCCCGAGTAAGAGAGTAGCATAAAAGTGAGGTAATAATACATTTAAATAACAATACGTATAGTACAGCCTCCATATCCATGGAACCAATATAAGCTGTTTCCCTTATCCATGCATTCATTTATTCACTTAGGGGCTCTTGCACAAGCTGCACCCTCTTGATACTGCTGTTATTAACCTCTGAAAATAATAGGGTTTTTTGCTTGTTCATGTGAAGTCCAGGAACATATCCTCCATAGATAAGGGGATATAGTATAATAACGATGCATAATACCAATACAATGTATTGGAGGAATAAAGTTTGCACATTGGATAACTCCCTTGAAGATTGGATTAAAATCCAGAACAGATTCACCATCATTTCTGATCCTAGAGCCATCCACCTCCTCTGTTCATGGAGGAGAGAAGGCTGCCATGCTCCCATTGCTGAAGTAAGATTCAAATGTCAGTGCTTTTGTGCAATGTGCTCCTCCACAAAGGGGCAAAATGGGGATGTTGGTGCCATTTTGACCCCTCCTACAAGCAAAATAAATTGGTCTGGTTGTCATCAAATTTAGCGTAATTTATAGCAAAAGAGCTGTGCCTGTTATGGAACAGGGGTTGGACTCTGTGGGATCAGGGTTTGAATCTCTGCTCAGGCATAGAAACCCACTGGATGCCCCTGTGCAAGTCACACTCTCTCAGCCTGAGAGAAAAATAAGGGCAAACCTCTTCTGAATATACAAGTATCTTACCAAGAAAGCCCTTGGGAAGGTCACAATAGGAGTTGATCTGAAGACATATAGAACAACATAGAAAATAGGCATTTGCAAAGCTTCATTTGTAAAGAGACATCTCATTTTCAAAATGTGGAGGGAAGAAGAACTTGTTTTTAAGGGATATACAAATAAAATGTTTTGCTAAAAGGCGGGCTGATCTCTACAGGAGACATCTTTTGAAATTTTGTTCTGTGACAAAAAAAAAAAGCTCTCATACCAGAGCTCTCCCACACCAAGTATGATGAAAATGATTCCTTTGTTTAGGATGTAGGTGTACTAGTATTTCCCGGGAGATGGGCAAGAATGAGTGAATTGTAATAAGCATTTTCCTGATTTCATTGTTTACAGATTCCGTGGTAACCCCTTTCTGTAATGAATACTGCTTCATTCTCAAATACATACTTGGAACTAAGCAAATTAAAAAAGATTGCTGAGAATAAATGATGGAAAATGCTCTCTGGCCAGTTTAACTTTCCTATGAATTCTGGGTGTGAAGCAGAGAGCAGCCCTTCCACTCATAGAATCATAGAGTTGGAAGAGACCTTATGGACCATCCAGTGCAACCCCCTTCCAAGAAGCAGGAAAATTGTTTTCAAAGCACCCCCAACAGACGGCCATCCAATCTCTTGAGGACTTAAAGTATATTAATTGCAGAGCAGGGAAGCATTGGGTGGAGAGTGATCAAGGGTCTGGAGAACAAGCCCTATTAGGAGTGGCTTAAAGAGCTTGGCATGTTTAGCCTTTATGTGTGTTGACAGAGACAATTTTCATCTATTTGATATGTTTCCAGTTTAATATCTTGAACCAGCAAATGTGAAAATTGACATTATAATGGACAATTGTGCAGGTTCTGGATGCACATTTTGCTCACACACACCTCTTTTCAGCATTGATGTTTAATTTATAGTGAAAAGGTAAAGTGTGAATTCTCCAAGCATTCTCTCCAGCTTCTCTTTTGTAGGAACATAACAACTTGTGATCTCTACAAAGAGTTTGTGAGGAGGATGAATAGAAAGGAAGGACAGGTGATAGCAACGGAAACACTTCTCCATTCCAAAATAGCATGTAATTGGAGTTATTCTTTGAACTACAGCTGCCAGAAACCCTCCCAGTCAGAGGATCTGGGAACTATAGTAAAAAAGTAAAATTTTCCAAGCTTTGTAAATAACATGTCTGAACATATACAAGACTATACTATTATTTAAAACACACACTAAAAGGATCATCTTCATTACAAGGATTGTTTTCTTTTAATCTAGGTTTCTTTTCCAATTCAGGAATAATGTGACATGTTTTGTATGTGTTTGGCACTATTTTATTCCTAATGATTACATCTTAGCCATCTTTACAGCAATTTACCACCATGGTTCGAGGACCGCAGCTCAATTGGGTCAGAGGCAGGCCCGTAGCCAGGATTTTGATTCGGGAGGGGCTGAGCTTGATTCGGGGGGGGGGGGGGGGGGGGGGCTGAGTTTTTGGGGGGGCTGAGTCTGAGTGAAAGAGGGTCTAGCCTAGCAAACCTTTTGTATCATTACCCCAATACCCCCATGCATATGGGATCTATTGAGTATGGTGATCAGATCATGATATGAATAAACATAACAGTTTAAATAATGCACCAGTAAGGCCTTTTCGCGAACCACCATGAGAATTTCGGGGGGGGGGGGTGCTGAAGCCCCCAACCCCCCCCCCCCCCCCCGCCGGCTACATGCCTGGTCAGAGGTGATGCTTTCATATGAACATGTGTTTTATTTGACTGCATTTTATATTGTGCTCATTCTTAAGTTTTGTTTTTAGGCGTTCTGTGCCATCTGTAAACTGTCCAGAGTACCTTTGGGGAGATGGTGGCAGGATATAAGAATAAAGTTGTTGTTGT